CCCCGAGACTGAGGAAGAATATAAATCCATTGTCTTGTACCTCCAATCGAATATACTTCCTCTTAAAGCTAAAGAAAGCCCTCAAAAAAGTCAAACTTTGTCAGGCGCTGCAAACAATTTGAAGTTGACGAAGAAATTATTTACATCCGACCCACAAACAAAAATGGAAGGCGTCGGGTACTCCCGAAATATGACACAAAATTACGGGATTTAGTATTAAACCGTTTTCACGATCAAGCCAACCACCGGGAATACCATAAAACTTACTCGGCAATTGTGGAAAAGCATATTGGAATTACCCAAGAGGAAGTCCGAGGATATGTCAACAAATGCTCGGTGTGTGCTATTAATACGTCCATCAAAGAAGAACAGACATGACACCAGTCGTGTCAACAGAGCCATGGGCACATTTGCAAATAGATCTCATTGATTTCCATGAATTCGCTGATGTAAACGACGGGTATTCATGGCTCTTAACATGCGTTTGTGTATTTTCAAAATTCCTCGTAGCTGTGCCAATGAAAAACAAAGAAGCTGCCACCGTTGCCAAACATCTTATCAATGACGTATTCAAGATCCCTGGTCCTCCACGGGTATTACAAAGTGATAATGGTAAAGAGTTTATTGCGGAAGTAGTCAAAAACGTTTGCAACATACTCAACATTACTATTAAGCATGGACGTCCTCGCCACCCACAGTCACAAGGACAAATCGAAAACAATCGGACGTGGGTTTACGAAGCTACTTTGGGACAACAATAACCAGTTGCAACGCAAAGACTGGATAAACATTATTGATGCCTTTGTTACGACATATAATTCGACAGTGCACCGTGCACATGCATTTATGACTCACTTGACACAGTCGATGATAACAATGGCATCCATTTTGATATCGATAACGGAAACAATGATAATGGCGAGGACGACAACAATGACTATAGTAGTAGTAGTAGTAGTAGTAGTAGTGGCAGCAACAGCAGCAACAACAACGAGAACGGCAATGAGAATGACGATGACAACAACCAGATTGACGATGTCACTGAAAGTACTGTCAATCAACATTTAGAAAGGATACTTCAAACTCGTCAGTCATTAAACGCTGTGTTGGAGAAATACCGATCGAAAGTATGCCAGAAAGGTAGTGTTCACAGAAAAAAGCATGCAAATAATACAATTGAAGCTGTAACTCCTGTTTTTATTTGCACCTGACCACGACAACAATCCGCGCACCCGTAAACGTAAACTACACCTACCTTTTCTGAAACTGGTACTTTCAAACGCTTAAAATCCAACAACAAAACAGCGGTAATTGAGGTAGATAACAAGGAATTTCTGTTCCTGTTATGCGGATCAAACCAAGACGTACCTAGCTTCATGTATATATTTTTGTAAAAAGAGATTTTATTAAATAAAGTTTCATTTTTTGCAATACGTGTTGTTAAATCGATGTCACAATTGTGTATGCGACAAAATTTCGGATTGGCGTGATCGGACAAGAGGACGCAAAACTCATTGATCTAACATTTATGATGACACAATAACAGAATAAAAAAGGAATTCTACATATAAACGTTATTCTTGGAAAGAATTGTGAGTTGGAGCTGTACTGTAAAATATGTTTCATTTACAAATTAAGCGTTTGAAATAAAATACGTGTGGGCTTTGTGAGTTCTGAGCCAGCTCTAAGACTTATTCCAGCTCGGAATCAAGCTTAGTATTAGTATTAGTATTAGGGATTTCTGTGTGACGGAACTGTGGTTATGACGCGATTTTTGAGATTATGAGCCACTATCCCCTGACACAATTAGGTAATGAAAAAGGTCACATGAGTTTCAGCATCAGCTGATTTCATCATCAGCTGCGACATTTATTATTCAGGTGATTTTATACATTGTTGCCAATGAATGGTCAGGACATTTTTGCTCATGTTAGATCAATCATTGAGATGGAAAAAGAATTTTGCTTGAAGGTTGATGAACTGCTCACATATTTACAAATTCCTGGACACCTTCATAGTTCAAGACAAGCAGTAAATCAGAATAAATTGTTATCGTTGGTTGAGGATTTTTCCTTTGTATATGCAGTCAAAAAAGGAGATGTCATAGGAAAAGTCAATGTTTGGTTATATGACAATCCAGCACCAGCAAAATATGATTTTATTGTAATGGAAATTCTGTATCACTTGAACAATACCTGGAAAGTATGTAAAATCTCCCAAAGGCATAAATTGCCATCTGAATATATTACAAATATACAGCATCCTCCATCAAATGTACCAATTAGAAAATTTTTCTTGGACATTTATATTGACAATTTCAGGACATATAGAAATGTCTACCATGCACTCAGTGGTGTTTATTTACAGTTTGGTAATATGCCACAGAGACTAAGAAAACAACTAAAGAATCATTTTTTGCTTGGTTTTGTGCTGTTGGGGGTAATGTTTATAAATTTCTCAGACCAATTCATGAAGAGATTAGAGCACTTGAACATGGTTACATGATCAACATTAGCACAGGAAATTATTGGGTCATGGGAGGCGTTGGGAGCATTACTGCAGATCTTTCTCAAGGAAACGATTTGGCTGGCATTAAGAGACATAATGCAAATTTTGGTTGTTGCACTAGCCATGCACACCAAAATCAATTGACAGAAAGTCATTTTGATTACATAGCTAATGCACGTTTTAAACATGTGACTGATAACCAGTATGCAGAAGTAATGGAGCTACCAACTATAATATATAAGTGCTAGAGAACGTGCTACTAAATATGGAATATCTGTAGATCGGCATCCATTAGAAAACATAATGTGGGATTGTCATACACAAACGCCT